CTCGGCTGCTTCATGTGGCGCCCGGAACCCGGTGCACCGCGCAACGAGCAGACAGGGCTCCCGCCATGGGACGTGATGCCCACGCTCTGGACACAGCAGCAATGGAATGCAGGTTGGGCCTGCAGGAGATGTCTCATCCACACCTGGAATGTGGCACCCGGTGCCCTCGACCACATTTTGGACCTGCACTCCTCCGAGGTGTACCCCCCCGCCCCTGCTAAGCGCGCAGCAACAGCAGAAGTGCAAGAGGAGAGCTACGACATCAGCGTCCACCTCTCCCCATCAGGCGTCAATGCAGCGGCGAAGGACGCCTATTCAAGGCCAGTGGCCCCAACGGGCGAGTCCACTTCCAACGGCATGGAGCTCAGCAGTCCAGCTGGACAAGCCGGCAAGACAATCTGGGCCCGTTGTGACAGCAACTCCGCGTTTCCCAACTCGAACCCACCAGCGTGTCCCGTCCTGCCAACCTTATCCACCTACAGGCTCGCCGGGGTGGAGTCCGACGGCCCCGTCCACGCTCTGGTGAAGTACCTACTGGAGTGGAGTCACTCGGTCTACCTTTGCTGGGCTGACTTTGTACAGCAGTACGGCGAGGGCATCCCAGGTGACAAAACCGATGAGACGTTGTGGCCCACAGCGCGCCTGCTCCCTTTCCTGGCAATGATTTACGGGGGCTCGATCCCAGCGAGCTGCCACCCTCCAGGCATCCCATGGGGCGGGCAGCGGGCTGCAGCGGCCAGGGTGGTATCCCACGTAACGGGTGGGAGTGAGAAATACCGGGGGGAATGGGACCGCTACGCTGCTGGCCTTGCTGAGCAGAGAGGTCAGTGCCCCTTCTGACAGCGGATCGGCACTCTTCTGGCGTTCCTTGCGGAGATTGACCCCGCTGCACTGGCCTGGGGGGCCATCGCCCTCCTTTCCACCCGCGACCCGCGCGAGACAGCCACAGGCGTCCCAGCTGGGGCTGAGTCACCGGCAGCCACCTGGCTCGACAGGGCTGTCGGAGCCGAGGCCCCCCCTCAGTGGACAACCGCGGAGGCGTGCAGGAGGAGCCCCCTTCCCGTGCTACCAGAGCGCCCCCCCGCGCCGCCGGGGCGGAAGGGGGGCGCGCCCCTCAGGCAGAGGGGGAAAGTCCTATTGGGCAAACGTGCAAGAACGAGGGCGAAGTAGATGGGGTCGACTGGGGTGGGGAGGCAGACAAGAAAAGTGAGTCTGACACCCTCAAGGAATCAAGCTCGGAATCCAGTCCAACCCCCGCTGCTGGCGACCGAGAAGAAGAAATCCCCGACCCCTCAGGATCTGGTCGGCACCACCCGACAGGGTCACCTCAGTGGCCTGGTCCCCTTACGAACAGGCCGCTTCCAGGGACGCTGCCCGCGCTGCCAGGAGCATGCCGGATGACCCGCGAGGAGGAGACAACCCAGCTGGGACCATCAACGACGCCAGGGACGACAGGACCCTCAGGCGCGCCACCGGCGACAGGGGCCGCCAGCGACCCGTGTGGGAGGACACCGGGGATGAGGATCGCCGCGCCGCCAAGTCCCCAAGAGGCGACCCAGCCCGGCCACACATACTCCAGGCACCCTGGAGAGACGTGCGAGAATTGCAGCCACCCCGAGGCAATCCGAGCGACCCCTTGGGGGGCATCCCCATGTATATGTGCCCGGTCGAGGAACCGGATGTTACGAAGGACGAACCGATGCAGGAGAAGATACCACGCCTGCAAAAGACGCTGGGAGGAGCGTTTAATGGGGTCTGGGTCGCATGGGTGAGGGGGGCTGCCGTGAGGCAGGGAACCATCGGGACTGAAAAGAATGACCCCAAGCTGAACACCGTGCAGCTGTGCAGCGAATTCCTTGAGGCATGGCGCAGGGTATGACACATGCAAGATGGACAGAGACCTGGGGCTCAACGTCGATTGGCCAACGGTCAAGGACAGACATACCAGGCTGCTGCAACGCGAGCCCAGACCCCACACGCAGCGCGGGACCGACAGCAGCAGCGGCCCCGCCCCATGGACCAAGGAGGGAGAGAGAGCGACAGAGGCGACCTCGCTGGAGCAATGGACTGGTGCATCCGGCTCCGCCAACCAGTGGCATGGATGGCAGGAATGGGTTTCCTGGAGCCACCAGGGCGCGCCGTGGACAGATACTGATTGGAAGGCGGCGAAAGGCAAACGTTACTCCCCTCAGGGGAGACGACCCATGCACCGACAAGCGCGCACGATGGTGGGACTGACTTGACTAGTGTGCCAAGGACACGCAGGGACGGGCCCGCCCGACGGGGTGCCCCCTGCTCCCCCAGCTCGGCGACGGCGACGCCCCCCCAGGCGCTCGCCGCTCTCTTCCCGCCGGGGTCAGTTTCACCCTGCAGCGCCCGGCCTTGGCCGCAATGCCCTGGGCAGCTCCCGCTGGGGCGGGGGTGTCCCAACATCTCGCCCAAGGCGCTGCGTAGCTAGACAGCCCACGCTGGATAAGTGGACCTTGCCTGGCCACCTCACCCCCCCCTGCGGCTGGTGGGGGTGAGCCCGCAGGCCCCGCCGGCCCAAGGCCAACAGCTGCCCTCTACGACGGCTGACTGCCCTGTTGGGGACGGGGGGCGGCCGCAGACGCGTCCCCGAGCTCCGCGCCCTTTGCTGTCTCTCTCGGCAGCCACTTTGGTTGGCCGGGAGTGGTTGGCTGGAATAGCCCCCCCTGCGCATCACTCTGCTAGCGGCGGTCTGTGTGCAGCCCGCGCTATCCCTCCCTCGTCCTCGGCTCCGTGCGAGCTGCTTCTATGACATGTTTGATTGCGGCTGTTGGCTGCACCCCCCCTCCTACCGACACGTGTGTGCGTTGCGGCTGTTGGCTGCGCGCCCCCTCTCCACCGCGTGGTTAGATTCAGCCGTAGCTGCGTTCCAGCGCTCCATGAGGTGGTCGCGGCAGCTGCGAATCTCGGCGACTATCGTGACCGGTGCCTGCGAGGTTGCAGTATACCGGCCCTTGGGCCAGCGTGTCCTCTCTCATCGTTGCTGCCCCGGCCAGTCACTGGTTTCGGATGCGATGAACGACGCGCCGGCCCCCCTCCGGGCAGCGGCGCGGTCCGTGGAGTGAGTGCTCTGTTGGTACTTGCCGTCCCCCGGCTCTCTCTGTGGTCAGATTCAGCCCTGACTGCGCCCCAGCGCCTACGAGCTGTCCGCGGCTGCAGCGTACCTCGGCGACCTTCGGCCGTTACCCGCTGGGCGGCAGTGCTGGCGCTTGGGCCTGCGTGTCCTCTTGCATCGTTGCTTCCTGGCTTGTGACTGGTTTGAACGATGGCTGACGCACCGGCCCCCCCCGGGCAGCGGTGTGGATCGTGGAGAGAGCTCTGTAGGTCCCTGCCCTTCCTCTGCCCCTGTCTTAGCCGACCCCGCGTACGGCGGTGGTGCGGACTTCGCGCTGAGTGGTTCAGCCTTCAGCGTGTCGCTTCGGTTCTACCTGCCGTCTTTCGGCTAGGTGAGCTGCTCGGAGCTTGGCGCCGACAGGGCGACGTCTCCGTTGCACTGCACTTCGGTCTGCTTCACTTCTGTGTGGCTGGCGCCTAGGTGCGTTCGCCGTAATGCGGAGCATTTTGCTCAGTGCATGTGCACACCTTGCACTCTTTGCGAATTATTACTGCAGGTGCGTTGCCTGTTGTGGCTAATTCGCCTCGCCTGCTGGCCCAGACGACGCCATCCGCTTCCTGACCTTTGCCTCGGAGCCGCCGACCCCCCCAAAAAAGTATCCGCACCAATTTGGCGACTCGCCCATCGTTCTTCTCGCTTGAATGCCCACCCAGCATGATGGACACGTCGACACCTTCGTGCACGTCCCCGCGTCGTTTGTGTGGGTTATGCCCCACGGCATAAGCCGAATTTCCTGGCATTTAGTCAGACTGCACGTGCCTGAACTTCCCTGGATGCCCCCAGCTGTCAGCCTCCCGCGCAGCCCCGCTGCTGCTTGGTGAGTGGGCCGGCCGGCCGGCGGCGCGTCCTGTAGCTAATTAGGTTTGTTCGTAGGCCCGGACAACTTCTCTCGCCGCCTGCGCTCTTCGCTCGCGGCCGCGACCAAAAAAGTATCCGCACCAACTTGCCTTTTCGGCGCGCGCGCCAGCAATTAGATTTCTCGAAGCCCGAGGTAACTCTGCTGACGCTGTCGGCGCCATCGCCCGCAGTTGCGACAACAAAATTACCCCACCAACCCATCCAGAAACGATGCCCAGGCGAGTTGCCTCTCAGAGCCTCTTCGGATGTCTCTTGGAAACTTTTTGGAAGCCTCTTAGAGCGTCATGGGGGCCTCTTGGCGGTCCCGGGGCCTCTTGGAACATCTTGTGGCCTCTTGGGGGTCTTTCGGGAGCCTCTTGGAGTCATCTTGGGCGCCTTTCGGGCTCTCTCAAGGCGCTCTTGGGAGCCTTGGGAACGCTCTTGGGGCGATCTTGGAGGAGATCGATCAAAACAGCTGGGAACTCCAATTACATTCCCCCTTCGGGAACTCTAGTAATCGCCTTTTTTGCCCCTTGGGCGCTCTTGGAGCGCTCTTGGGCGCTCTTGGGGCTGTCGTGGGGCTATCTTGGGCCTCTCTTGGGGCCCTCAGGGGCCCTCTTGGAGCTGTCTTCAGGCCTCGGAAGGCCATCGGAAACGAAAACGGCGAGAAGGCAAACAACATTGATTTTCCCCAGGTTCTTCAAGGATTTTGGCCTCTTGGCGCTCTCCTGGGGAGGCTCTGTGGCCACTCGGAGCGATCTTGAAGCGGGCTCGGGGCCTCTTGGAGCATCTTGGGAGCCATATTGAGCCATCTTTGGCTACCTGGAACCATCTTGGGGGTCATCTTGGGCTCTCTGAGGCCCTCCTAGAGCCATCTTGGGCCGTCTTAGACGCTCCAATGCCTCGCGACCCCCTCCGCCAGGTCCAGGGGAGGGGGGAGGGGAAGGGGTAAACCCCTTCCGAAGTGGAAAAGGGAGGTGTTGGAAGAGAAACGGCTCTAGACAACTTACGCCCAGAGGGCTGGTTGGATTTTCTGAGTGTGCGAGGGCTGGACTGGTTCGAACAGGCGCGAGTGTGCGCGCAGGTCGCAGGTCGTAGTAGGAAATGCGCCACTGCGCGGCTTGGCCATGTTGGACTAGTGCTGTCCTCAGGGTACTGTTTATTGGATGCGCGAGGCATGCAAGGGATTATGCTGGTGGTCTGCGCTCACCTGGCGCGAGATCGTATAAACCGATCCCCCTGCGTCAGCGTGCGCATGAAGCACTAGCAGCTTGCTTACGGCCCGCTGCTGCTGCCTGCACCCGCTTGCGCCCAGCGCGCCGCTCCAGCCCCTTCAACGAACAGAGAGGGTCTCGAGCATAACCGGCGGGGTTGGGTCGCCTGAGGTCATCATGACTATCATCATCGTGATCATCAGCATCATCGACATCATCATCAGCAGCAGCATCATCATCATTGCCATCGTCATAGTCATCATCATCGTCATCGGCATCGCCATCGCAATCGTCAGCAATCTGCATCAGCATCATCACCAGCATCATCAGTATCACCATCGCTATCATCATCGGCATCAACATCAGCATCGGCATCATCACCAAGGAGGAGGAGGAGGAGCACGAGGAGGAGAAGAAGGCGGAGGAGGAGGAGGACGAGGATGAGGGTGAGGAGGAGGAGGCGGAGGAGGATGAGGAGGAGCAGGCGCTGGAGCAGGAGGAGGAAGAGGATCAGGAGGATAGTGATGACACCAACATGCATATTTTCGAATGAAGATGATGAGGAGGCGGATGATGATGATGATGATGATGATGATGACTATGCTGATGATGATGCTGATGGCGATGGAGATGGTGATGCTGATCATGGTGATGATGATGCTGATGATGAGGCTGTGGATGCTGCTGATGACGTTGGTGCTTATGATGAAGATGATGAGGATGAGGATGATGATGATGATGCTGATGATGATGCTGATGATGATGATGACGCTGATGATGATGATGATGATGATGATGATGATGATGATGATGCTCGTGATGATGATACTGATGGTACTGATTACGTTCACTATCATGATGTCAATGACTGTGTTGGTGACGCTGATGATGAAGATGCTTATGATGACGATGATAGTGGTGATGATGCTGCTGCTAATTCTGATGATGATGATGGTTTTGATGATGCTTTTGCTGATGATGATGCTGATGCTGCTGATGATGATGATGATGATGCGGACGATTATGCTGCTGATGATTATGCTGCGTATGATGATGGTCATGGTAATGATGCTGTTGATTTTGCTGCTCATACTGCTGATGCCGATGCTGATAATGCTGCTGATGATGCTGATGATGATGACGACGATCGTGATGAGGATGATGCTGATGAGGATGATGATGCTGAAGCAGCTGATGAGGATGATGGTGCTGATGCTGCTGATGACACTCATGATGCTGATAATGCTGATGACGACGACGACGATGCCGATGCTGCTCGTGACGATGATCATGCTGCTTCTGCTGCTGCTGATGATTAGGATGGTGATACTGATGATGAGGATGATGATGATGATGATGATACTGATGATGATGATGATGATGAGGAGGAGGAGGAGGAGGAGGAGGAGGAAGGTGATGATGATGATGATGATGATGATGATGATGATGATGATGATGATGATACTGATAAGCATGATGATGTTGATGATGCTGATGATGCTGCTGATGATGCTGCTGATCATGATGTCTCTGATGCCTCTGATGCCTCTGATGCCTCTGATGATGATGATGATGATGATGATGATGATGATGATGATGATGATGATGATGGCAATGCTGCTGTTGATGATGGTGATGCTGATGAGTGTGATGATGGAAGTTCGACCGGGGGCCGAGTCTTTGCAGGGCGTCCATTAAGCTCTCGATGTGTCCCTTTCCCGCCGTGGCCGTGTCAAGGCGCGATGCAGATTGCGCGCTTCGTGCTGCGCCTCGCGCGGAATCTAGATTGAGATGCCGAAGAGTTTTCGTTCACGCCGGCGTTCAGGAGTCTCTCTCTCTCTCTCTCCCCCTCTCTTTCTCAGGATGGGAGAGATTATTGTAGAGGCCTCCGGCCGGTGCGGCCGATCCGGGACGATCCCGCTGTCAGAAGGACGCTTTCGCCCCAGAGCGCTTCTTCAAACGTGAGTGGTTTGGAAACAGCTTGGAGGCATTGCGTGGGCTTCTTGAGGGGCCTCTAACCACGCATCTTCGAGGCCTCCTGGGGGGGCGTCTTGGGAGTGATTGTGGAGCCTCTTGGGGGCCCTTTTTTTGGGTTTCTCGGGGGGCATGCAGGAGGCCTCCTGGAGGCCTCCTGGGGGTGTGTAATGAAGCCGTTGGGGGCGCTTTTGGGTGCCTTTCTGGGGGGCCTCTTGAGGGCCACTTGGAGCCTCCTTCGGGGTTACTTCGGGACTCCTCGGGCCATTTTGGTGCCTCCTGGGCGCCTCGTGGGCCGTCTTGGGACCTTCTGGGGCCGTCATGGGGCCCTCTTGGGCGCTTCTTGGGCCCGTCCTGGGGGCCGCTTGGGCTGTCTTGGGGGTCTCCCGGGCTTTCTTGGGCCCTTCCTGGGCCGACTCGGGGCCCTCTGGGCCTGTTTTGGAGGTTCTTCCTGGGCCGTGTTGGACACTGACTGCGAAGGCTGAAGAAGGAGCACACAAGAAATTTACGTTTCGCCCAGGGACTTGGGCCGATTTCCTGTCTTTGGGTATTCTTAGGAGGTGTCGGGAGGGTGCGACGTTTCGGCCACTGAGGGCCCTCTTGGGCCGTCTGGGCGGCCGCTGGGTTCTTTATGAGCCTGCGCTCGAGCTCTCCGGGGCGAGGGGCCGACCCAGAGAGAGCTGGAGCATCGATTTTGCCACCAAAACTGGCTCGGACCCCTTCCCCCCCCAACCCCGGCAGAGCCACCCGGGCCCCCCCCCCCAGCAGAGCTGAGGCTCAAGAACCGAGGCTCAGGCTATATCTGAGGGTCTTTTGAAGCACGCGCAGGAGTGGCGGATTTGGGCACCAACGCGCTGCAGCGATATGGTCAGTATTTGTGGCCGCCCGCCGGGCCGCCTGTCTTGAACAAGAAGGGACCGGAGTATTCACACCGCTCTTCTGGTAGCGATTTTTTGCTCACGCCAGGTTGCCAATGTCCCGCCAGCATTGACGTTTCTGGACCCGCTAAGAAACAATCAACAAAACTTTGTGTACGTCTGCTGGGATGGCGTCTTGCTTCTCTTGCCTGCTGTTCCGCAGCGAAGCCTCTGCAGGGTTCTGCGAAGTTCCGCGTGTGTGAAACCATCTGGGTCCACGTGTCGTGGTCGTGGTGGTGGTGGTGGTGGTGGTGGTGGTGGTGGTAGGGCAAGAGTGCAATTGGGATGCTGCTCAGGTGCTCGGCGAATGTCTCCGCGCGCGTGTCCGTCGTCACTGGCACGCCTGTTTGTGTGATGAAGTCTACCCTGTGGCTGGCCCTCGCTGCGATATCTTTGTGATGCCACCCCAATCCCAAGAACCCCTCGCGTCGCGAACAAAACATGTGGGAGGAGGTTTTGTATTATTTTCGGCTCCTGGGGGCCCTTCCCAGGCCTCGGGACTGGCAGACACGACCCAGGACGAAGAGCCAGTCTGGGGGAAGGGGTCCAAGCCTCGCGGGGGTCACGTCACGAAAAAATCATGACATTTGGGATCTGGGGTCCTGAGGTTCCTGGTGACCGTTAGGTTCTCGAGCCACGCGGGGCAATCTTACTGGGCGGCCGTCGTTTTAGATTTTCTCGATCGTGGCTCCGCGTCCCGATCGCCAGCTGCTTGCGCGAGCTGGTGTGGAGCAGTTTGGTTTGTGTGCGAGTGCGTTCGGGCATCCAACATTTCCCCCACGGTTTGCGCAGCTTGCCGCGGTGCCCACGCCGGCCCATAGCGGGCGCAGAGGCGGCGCGCCGTCTCTGCGTCAGGTTGCGCTCCGCTGCTGGTTCTTCAAACTGTTGCCGGCCTCTTTTCGTGAGCGTGCGTCTCCCTGACGCGCGCGGCGGGCGCAGGACCTCCCCCGACGCGCGTGCCCCCGTCTCCGGGCGGGTGCCCCACGGGCGCAGGTCTGCGCCCCTCTTCCTCGCTGCGCTGCTGCACTCTGGGCCCCCCCCCAGCCGTCTCGAAAGTCGCGAGCGGTTCAACCCCGCCTCCACTCGGGACTCGCACTGGCGTGCCCCCCGTGTGCACCTCCCAGTCGACGGGCGGCTGGGTCTCCGCGCTGCCGCCCTCGGCGCCTCATTTTTGGCGGCTGCAGCCTGTGTCGTTCGTGACGTGTATCTAACAGCCCCCCCCCGCTGTGGACGCAACAAGCACCAGTGCCGACGCCTACGCTGGCACCAACTCCAGCGCCTACACCAGCACTGACGCCGGCATTGACGCCAGCACCAACGCCTGCGACTGCGCCTGCACCGACGCCTGCACTTATACCAGCGCCGACGCCTGCAGATGGTCTCTGCCAGCGCCTATGCAAGCGCCGACGCCGACATGAACACCTGCGGATGCGCCAACAGCCCGCGCCCACACCAGCGCGGAGACCAGCACTGACGCCAACGCGAAAGCCAGAGCCAGTGCCTGCGCCGGCGCCAGCGCCAACGCCAGCTCCCCCACAGCACCGACGTCGGCCCCTACGCCAGCACCGGCGACGACGCCTTCGCCAGCACGAGTGACGACGCCCACGCCTGCACCGCGATGTGGATTGCGTCGTATGCAGACGTATCCGCTGCAGGAGCTGGGATCCCGTTGCGTCACTCCTGCAATTTCCCTTTCGACGCCTGCTCTTTCGCCGATGTCCACGCCCGCTGCTTTGATTCTTTTCGACACTCAGCCCTCTTTCTCCCAGCCAACAGCGCGCTATGTTCCACTCCGACCTCTGCTTGTCGACTACTGGCCTTCACCAACTCTGCACTCTGACTTCCACACCCCAGCGTCCGACGCGCGAGCGAGAAGATATGTGTATTTTGGGCGTGCTGGCCCCGCGATTTGGGCTGTGCGGTGCGGAGGCGCAGCCGTTGCGGGGGCGTGCCGGCCCACCCGCTATCTCGCAGCAGTGGGGTTAGCACCCTCTCGCGTGGGCCAACAGCAACTCGACATCGAGCGACGCACCAAACTCCAACAACACGACGGCAAGCGCACGACGGGGGCTTCTACGGCGCGCCACGCCGGCTTCGACATCAGAGTCAGGCCTAACACTTGCGCGGCACAAAAACCAACGATCGCGCCGTCACCTACTTACATTAGCATCCGGCCACCACCGTTACATCGTCAACATCGGCACGCCGTCCACAACAACAACACCACCAATCACAACAGTAACAGCAACAGCAACATCGACAGCAACAGCAACAGCAACACCAACAACAAC